GGATGCCTTTTTTTTGCATTTTGAAAACTGTTGTTAATTTCGACTAGTAACAAGTAAAACTTGACTTGGCATTCGGGGTTTACAGCTTTGGAATAACTGAATAGCAGTCAAAACATCTAGATTTAGTATAAGATTTAATTGCGTATATCTTGTGGCAAGACGGAACGAACTGTGTTTTTCCTCTAGCGACTATTGTCCAGTAACTTCTCAAGAACTACAGAAACAGTGTTTTCACTCTGTTGATTTTGTTTTTACTGTAAGCCAAAAGAAAACAGACATCGCTCCTCAGACGCATGCAGTTGATAAAATCCTTTTAGCCACAGGATATGTGCACGGAACAACCGTCAGATTAGCCCACTGGGTATCATTATACCTATAATACCCAATCAGGTTCATTCAACAGAAAGGGCTCCAAAGGTCTGCACCCACTTCGATCTTCATCGGCTGAGAGGCGACAAAGCCAGAAACGTTTATCCCACCCGAAGTCAATACAATCTTGATACGTGTAAATATGCATGGAACAGCCGCCAGACGAGCTCACCGGGTATATCCATTATACCTATTATACACATTCAATTTGATCTTGAGGAAAGGCTTCAAAGGGTTATACCAGCTTCGATCTTTCATCAGCTGAGAGGCCACAAAGCCAGACACATTTATCCAACCCGCAGTCGATCAGACCTTCTGACGTACACATGGAACAGCCGTCTGATTATCCCATTTGGTATACTCATTATACCCACAAAACCCATTCAGCGTGATAGCTCCAGGAAGGGCTTAAAAAGGGTATACCCACTTCGATCTTTCATCAATGAGAGCCCGCAAAGCCAAAGACATTTATCCTGCACGGCTGATCATACATAGAGGAAGTCGAGGAAGTCACCACCTACGCATCGCCTTCAGTGTCTTCTCATTCTACATCCGCCGCGTTGGGCCTTTATACAGAATCCGCGCTTGACTTTCCCACCTGAATTTTATCTTCTCTCCAGAGTTGAATACCACAGTGTCCTCTTTGAATGTCTTACACATTTTATTGTCTGAAATGAGTGGGAGGACACCTCCAACATATCGTTCGCGATTGATTTCGTCTTGTTCACCGATTGTCCCTTCAGGGAATGTCATGCGACCATGATGCGAATGGGGAAAGGCAGCTGAAAACTGCGTTCACATTAATCCGCCAGAAATGGAGTGTAATTTCAACATGAGTGATTTCTAGTGCGGTGACTTAGGCAGAAGGACCTTCGTATAAGCGCAATCTGCTGTCGAATCCCTGGATATGTGGAAATGATGGATCCGAAACCGCGCCGTCTTTCCCCAAAGCTTACAGTCGTACATCACACTTTGACAAAGCAATAACTTGCAACCAACAAAATCCAATAAAAACAGGTTGTATCATTGATCCAGAGGTTGGGATGCTTTTAAGCAGCCGTAGTTAACCTCGTCTACCCAATATTACAACAAACACATTGATTTCCTCATAATGACAAACATGAAGAATAATACTATATAATAGTATTGGTTAAGAAATATAGGCCAGTAGAGGTGGCAACACCTTCAAAGCAGAGCTTGTATCAGGCATGCCATTACACAAAAACAGACGAATTATTACAGAAAAACAACTATACTTCCAAGCAGTAAACACAGTTATGAAAATAATTAATAATGGGCTACGAGTAGGATCGTCATACAAAGTCCAAGGGAACAGACACATTAAACATAAAATATAGTAAAATTGCATAAGGTACAATTTAAGTTTGCGTTGAAAAATATTATATGATCTTGAACATCTAAGAGAGAATGGTAGATTATTCCATAATTTAGGTCCGGGGTATTTAATGTTGTATTGAACGGCAGACGTTCTATATTGTGGCGTCAATGGATTTTCTGGAAAATTGTTCGCTAATTTAATAATCTGGGTACTCAACATCCTCCCCAAATATACCAAATACAAGCTGCCCTTCACATTCAAACATGCATGGCAAAAATGAGGTCCATTTACCACTTCATGGTTGAAGTTAGTTTTAGATGCAAAGCTTTCTCCCCTGCGTTTTCTTTAAAATCTGACCTCTCGGTATTTGGTGACTACATATCGAAGGTTCGTCTATGTGCTTCGAAATGATAAGTTGTTTGTTGAAGTTGTTTTTATGCGTGCCATACTTCCAGTCTTCCACCAATCAAAAGTTACAACCAATTCATTTCAGTGTTGAGTACGAGTACTTTTCCATGAGTACGAGCACTTTGCCGTGAGTACAGTTCTTAGCTTTGAGTACGAGTAGGCCTACTTTGTCATGAGTACGAATACGAGTGCAAGTAGGATTACTTTCCACAAATTAGAGCAAATATCAATGTGTCACGTGTTTCGAAGGGCTATTTGCTATCAAACTATCCATTAAACAAATGCAAAGGCCTCCCAAACAGTAGAAAACGTGTTCTTATTTTTGTTTAATTCTTGCGGGAGAACATTTGCAAGAGTGCGAGTGCGAGTGCGAGTACGAGTTCGAGTACGAGTACTTTGTCTTTAGTACGAGTATACGAGTACGGGTATTTTTCTTGCGAGTACGAGTATGAGTACGAGCATGAGTACCAAAAAAATGTACTCGAGGACGAGTACGGGTACGAGTGCAAGTACGAGTACGAGTTCGAGTGCGAGTACGAGTACGAGTTCGAGTACGAGTACTTCGTCTTGAGTACGAGTACGAGTATACCAGTACGGGTATTTTTCTTGCGAGTACGAGTACGAATACATCTACACAAGTACGAGTACAAACATGAGTACCGAAAATGTACTCGAGGACAACTCACGTTTGTGTTTTGGAAACTACTACCATTCGGTGCTTATCATTACTGACACTAAGAATCTACACCACTTATAAGTACCACTTGCTGCAGTGCAGACGATGAAAGTTGTGGTTTCATTGGCGGTATGCAGGTTGCGAGGCATACATCACATTGACTTGAAATATTAATTGCCTTGTAACGCGCGTCAGTTATTTTAAGTATACACATTTGCAATGAATAATGTATAAAGTGCTCATTTGTCTTATACGGCGAGCGATGAAGTGAACGTATACAACAACCACGGGAAGTGTCAAGAGCGTGTTCGGTCTCTCGGAAAACTGATCCCCGCCACTTGCGGATCATTGTCCAGTGACGGTGGGCTTTTCCTGATGTAATTGCAATTCTAATGCGCCGAACGAGCGATCGCGCTGATTTTTTTTTATATGGAAATATGGGGGAAAAGTGCAAAAGACAAACAGGAAAAGGGAAACTTGATGCGTGCAACACGGGTCGGGTTACGTATGCCTGACGTCAGTATTCACTTGAATGATTTAAAGGTACAGGGGTCTATTTAGTTAACGCAGTGGTAGATGTTTTTGCCCCTCAAAATGCGTTAGGCATAACATGTCAAAATTATCATAGTCCCCGTTGTGAATACATCAAAAGAAGGGTAAACTTCGACTCAAAGTTGTTTTAAGTGGGAGAAATGAACTGCCTGCAACATAAATGCGTTTCGCATCTTAAGAACAAGGAGATAATGTTTGCATCTGTGAGAAAGAGCAGCCAGGTTGAGCATTTTGCAGAAGTCTTCCGTTTCAACAGAAATATTTTCAGGAGAAAAGCATACCAGATTCATTTGAAGTCGATATAAGCTGAACGAGGAAATGATAGTAGTATCTATATAATTTGTTGGGGGGGGGGGGGGGAGGTGGGGTGGGGGAGGAAGTGGGGATGGGGATGGGGGTGGGGGGGGGGGAGGATGTTGTTTAGGGGCTGGCGGAACTACTTCTTTGTGTTTGTCATATCGTTGTCTCAAACGAAGCGCCCACACTTTGAGTCGATTCATTACATTAATAACGTTTATTCATACACTTTCTACCTGCCAGTTTATACCCTTGGGTATTACGAAACACAAACCAGTGGGGCCACTTACAGGTCACTCTCCCTTATAATTGACCGTCGAGGATGGCCATAGGGCCCGTGGCATTACAATTGAAGATTGGCTTTCCAACTTGCGTTTACATTGGATAATCAAAATAAAACACTCGACGAAACGGCAATTCCAAAAGATTACACCGCTAAAATTGCAGTATCGAATGACTCTCAAAGCATGACCTTGAATCACATCAGTATTTTCTTACAGTTTGCATGCCAGTATCATATATCTGCAGCACGAAAGCCCTACTGTTAACATTGGCATGGAAAATAAGATCCCCCAAGTTCGATGGATATCTACTAGATGCCAGGAAAATAATATCCTAGTAAAAAAAAAACCGCAAAATGAACCGTATGCTCGCGAGTACAACTTGTTACCTTCTATGTCTTTCAAATCCTCGTTAAGTCGAAAATGTTTACGGTCGTTATGTTCCCTTTTGAAAGGCTGCAATTCTTTCAGAGAATGAAAACATCCGAAAATGTCAAGGGTTGTGATAATACCGAAAAATATCAAAACTGAGCTTTTGTTTGTCTAGCCGTTCCGTCGGTGACAGTTTGTCGCGGACCCGTGACGTCACCAGACTTGACACGCTGTTGTTGATGGCAGATTTCCGTTCGTAAAAAAAAGACGCTGCACTGAGCTCCGCGGATTACTACGTAATCTAGCAAATTAAAGGATCTAAGGTTGTTTTTGAGACAAATCCAGAATAAACCGTCAAAATGTCTTCAGTGGCGTCATAATAGCGATATTATTTTCGGTGACGTCATAATAACTGTAGTGAACTCTGGGTGTTACACTATTGGCCGTAAACACCTGAAGCCGCTAAACACAGCAAGTTGCTGAGTTAAGAAAATATTTGCTCAGTTGTCAGTCAAAATGACATGCACTGTACTTCCTTGTGATAGGTTATTCTTAGCTGATTTTTGCAAAACTTAATTTTCTGCCTATAGCATCTGAAAAACAAAAATGGTTGCATCCGCTCACCCGTTGGAATAAAGTTATGCATCAAATGTTTACAAAGATTTCAAATGACAAAGGTCGGATCGGGTCTGGTACTTGGACTCACCTCATCGGTTTCCACTTGCGGTTCCATCGTTCAGTGTTTGTGACAGGATCAAGTTAGACACCTGAAATAAATTGAAAATCAGATCGATAAGCAACTTATACACTTCTCACAAAATCAACCTGTGGCTTTATGGTTTTTTGTGACCACAGAAAAGTTTCAAGAAAGGCTTTTATAGCGTTATACCAAAGTTGGAATTGCCAAGAAAACTGTGATATACAACGATCTTAGTTCGGCTTGGTAAAAACAAACTTTACCGTAAAAAAGGTTTTCTCAGTGACAAAAACTACACGTGCATTGAAGTCTTTTGGGCCGTTTTCATCAGGTTTAACTCGTATATATGTTTTTTATTCTTCCATCGGACGCCAAACTGAAATTCAATGCCCAATATTGGAACGGACTTATTATACACGTTGTGCCAATGGAACAGAAGATAAAAACGCCTAAAATGATTCGCGTTAAACGCTGTGACAGCACAGGGCCGACTTTAACACGTGATTCTATCATGCAGCACTGGATGATATCACTCCATCAGTGTGTTCGTCCAGTTTTGTCTTTTGTTCGATATTCAAAGCAAACAGAATATTCCGTTTCTCTGTTTGACTAAAAGATGCATTTTGTTCCCAGTGGGGGTTTAGGGACCTTTGGCCGGGCACCTGTCCTTTCGTTCATTATAACCAAATCCAGGATTATGTGAGGTACACACTGTAAAACGTATTGAACTTTGAGAAAATTAAAAGGCGCTATTTTGCAACTGTTTATCAACATTTTAACACGTTTAGGGGGAGAGACGCCATTTACTATAGTAAAAGGCATATCATAAATGTTGCATCAGATTCAGATATTCATATTTAGATATCCATGAACTAAAACTAAGGCCTCAAAACAGTCGGTTTAATTTTGGCAGCTGATTGAAAATTGACTTTCATAAAAACGAACAATAAATATTCCGTTTAATTCACGTTTCGCGAACGGCGCTGCTGAGGAACTTTACGCTTCCTAACTCCCTAAACGATCGAGGCGTTTACAATGTAAACGAAACGTTTACAATTTAAACGCTCGGTTGTACAATGCAAGAAGCTGAGGCGCGATAGTTTCCATCAAACTCTCGTAGATCAAATGCCCCATTGCGTTACAACGATCTTCTTGAACATTCCTTGATAATTGTTCTGCTGATGCTCGCCGTCCGCTTTGTGTTCAATAAGACACGAGGCAGCTTACAGCCTCTTGCGTGTGCCCCTTTCACCGCAGCTCACCGGGATCAACGAAAGTGCATGACCAAAATGCTCGGCAAATACCCACTTCCCTTTCCTTCTGTCCCTGCCTTGCCTATGGAATTCCCCTCCTGTCACTACCTCGCCCTGAACCCGTAATCTTCACAGGCTTGGGAGGAGATTGGAACTTCATTCCACCTACACACCGTAAACAAATCTCCGCTGATACCTCGCGGGAGTAGTTTCAGCATGGTTTCACTGCATCTTTACCATTTTGTCTCGTCTCCGTCAGGTAATTGCCGACCTCGCACTGATTTGGAATTGACAGCACCTTCAAGTCGACAGTTAATTCCTTTGCACTTACCTCGAGAAGCTTCTAGCATTTTTGCCAGAGAGTCCCGTTTGGAAAGAACAGAGATTTTTGAGGTAAGCGCTAGAAAGTTTTGCTTTATGAAATCAATATAGGCTCGGCCTTTTTGATTTAAAACAGTTTCCGCAAACCTATTGCATTTTATGTTTCGTTAATTGAAACGTAATTTACTTTTTAACTTGAAAGGTTTGGGGTCCTTTTTCATAGATGACTCTTAAATCGAGAAGTTAGCTCCTTTTTTTGCCATGATCAATGTACGCTTGGGTTGTTTTTGTGAGGAGATGGCACGTCAAACCTCTAATTGAAATTATAGCGTTAAACGTAAAATCACATACATTAAGGGTTACTGAGAAATTTCAAGGACTCTGTCACAACTACAATGAAATGATAAAATGATGAAGACCCCATTCACGGCTCAACCATTATTAATTAGTGTAAAAGAGTCGAGGGCATCTTGCCTTTCTTGAATTTGCGCACGGTCAGTGACCAGCAAGAGACTAATAATTGACCTTTAATCGTCGACGCTTCCTGCGTGATAATGGCGGGTAACGTGCGGTAATATAACGTAAGGACTGGAATTGGGGTCGATAGTTTTGTGAATAGAATTTGAGAGACCGCGACGTCAAACGTATGCAATCGTGTAGGATATTTGATGGTTATGTCTGATAAATGAATGACATGAACCGTCAATAAATCATGTCCAATAGATTTTTCATTCCCAGCGTATGGTATTTTGCTAGTTTAGGATGCACTTGTCAAATTGTAACCTGCAGTATATAGAACTATGATTGAATAATTTCTATAATCACATGGCGTTCTATAATCACGTATCCAACTGCGCATCAACATCAATTATAAATTTGACCGCTATTCGAGAACAAACTTGAAAGGTTGCTCAAGAATAACATGTTTTGTTCACAAGCTGTGCACAAGGACAAAGCCATTGTTCAGATTGAAGAACACAATGCATATTTGCCGGTAATGAGAATACAATGTGACGTCATTCGTGTTCTTGAAGGGTTGGAGTTACCTGTCAAATGAAAACCAACCGTCTTCGTTATTTGCTGTAACCTTTCAAATGAAATGCGTAGATGAAAGAACGACCCTTCAATGAAACTGCTCCTCGCTTGCAATGAAAGGTCAAAGAGACAATTACAAATAAATTGGCATTGCAAAATATTGTAATCATCAGATGTGGCGCCGCCGCAAGGCTTCGTCCATAAAAAAAAGTGCACGTGGCTCAGAATATACTGCCTATTACATCAGAATTTGGTATGGTTGTATTTCACCATGCCCGCGTGTACGCATCTCACCGATTGACGTGAGATGAACGCTGTTGGACGGGAAAACCATGCAAATCGGTGGTGTAATCGCCATATTTTCCGAGCCCCTAGTAATACACTGTAAAAACGTTTGGTTAGATTTGACTTGAAAACAGTCAAACTTACTTCCAGCTGACTACAGCTATAAGGTTCAGCTGGGTGCAGGTTTGACTATTTTCCAGTCGAAATTAACTGGAGTGATTTCAGAGCGTATTTTTTCCGCACTCGCATCATTTCCAACGGCCCTCAATATTGGTATACATGTATGTATGGACATTATTGCAATAATGTTTGGATAATAAACAACTCGGACATGCAGTACAATGGCAAAAAAACCCCAATGTTTTCATTTTTGGTAATTAGCTCTTTTCATCACTTTTTGTTAGGCTCAAAGGGTCAGTTTCGTGTTCCTTTGGTACCTATCTCACTCACTCACTGAGTCACAGAATCTCACTTGATAGCCGGGCAGTGTTATTGTATATGAGCACCCCGTAACGTGTAGATCGGATGCACGGAAAGACTGCCAGTGAATAGCCCAATGTGAAGAAATGGAATAGAATTATTGGAATAGAATTATGTGTGCTCTGCATGGGATGGGACCAGACTTACAAGCCTTGTCTTCGTGTGGTTTTTTAGTTCACAGAATGTAAGCTTCTCTCGCAGCATTATCTGCAGCGCATTCACCAAGGGACAAGTTATGGGAATGAAAAATCTGCCCACAACCTTGGCGCTTATAATAATGCAATCAGTGTAGATCCTGTTTAGTGTTTATTCTTCCCAAGTGTTTCCACGCGACTTGGCATGTCTCTCTCTCTCTCTTGCTTACTCCCTCTCGAAACAAAAAAAGAAGAAAATATAAGGAATTCAAAATAAGAAATAAAAGAAGACACGATCGTGGTCATGTTTTCTTTGCTTCCCAGCAAACGAGTCTCTCGTCGATTTAGTCAATACATTTGATTTTTTTTTTAAAGCTTGCAGAGTTTTAAAAAACGTTTCTGTGGCCTACATCAACATCATTTTTTTGTAACGTAATTTGCCGTGGGTTGCTTTTCTCACACAATGCTGTTATTCTTTTTATTGTGTTGCGACTTAAAGAAAATAAAGCGTGGTTGTTAACAAACGGAAATTAATGTTTACTTTAAATTATGGGTGTAGGCCTATTCGCGCTTTTTTTCTACACAATCACTTGTCGAGTTGTGGTTATTAAAGAATGCTATGTTTACGTAACGGTCATACTCTTAGTTCATTCAGTCTCTCTAAAATGTTTGACTTCTTTTTAAGAAGGACAATAATTATGGATATATGAGCTGCTGCACTTTCCCTACACCCACTCGAGCCATTAAGCGTTTGATGAAGTCGTTAGGACACCACTACTTGGCACAAGGCCACTCAATAGATATGACAGTGCCATTTTCACGGCAGACACAACAACTAATTGAACCATTTTGACACGATCCTTTTTTTTAATCATCAGATTAATTGACACGACCTCTTCGTTTATCACCGGATTATTGATCAACGTGTCGATTTCTGGACCCGACCAGACCAAAGTGCTGCCTGCGACCACTTAGTCGAAATTACGATGAGGAACCTTCTTTTCGTTTTCTTCTCCTGTGTCCCCCCTTTCCTCCCGCGAGTTCCTAGCGCCCTGGCTCCTTCTATTCCCCAAATCCTTTTGTCTCCAGCAGCGACAATGGCGTTGCCATGGTGCGGCCATTGACGTCATCACGCGCTCACCTGGCGACTCGCTTCCCTCCCCGCGAGATGCGAAGTGACAGTTCCAGCGAGTCCGCGCGAAAGATCAAGGGCGAAATCCACATTTAATTGTGTGGAAGATTCCCCTTTCCCTCATACCCCGGCAGAGGCTTGGGTTTCGCCCGTGTATCATCGCACGCATGTCTCAGTATTCATCTCCCCCCTGTACTACGACATTGTCTTGGGCTTATCAACCGAATGGCTACGGCAGGTCTTATTGCGGAAATTGAAATTAAAATCAAATTAAACGTGTGGGAGCGCGTGTTTTGCAAGAATCCCGCTCGCCGAGGACACGTTTCCGTCCATCACAATATTTCGATGAACTCCGGAAAAAATCAGGCTTTCCTCAATACTACACAAGGTTCTAATTAAAATAAGAACGATGTGCCCTGAGAACCTCGTTGACAAGGCTGACGTCAAGTACCAAATAAAAATTTGTCTCTAAATTTAAGTGCAGTGCTTGATTTGCCTCTTATTGTAAAAAGTCCTTCAAAATGTAATGTGCAATACGAATCAACCAAAAAACGTGTGGTAGATTTCTTTTCATTCACACACACACACACACACACACACACACACAAAGTAACTCCAACACGACCTTGCAAATGTAGCATATTTGAGCTTCGAACCGAATTTGGTTTTTGTTATCATGTAAGACAACAGTTGTCCCAAAGTTTTGTTTTTGACAAGACTGTTGCTTTAAATAAAGCGTCAGTCAGCTGAATTCTTTTACAATATTTAGAGCTTGTACAAGATTCGGATGGGTTTCAATGATTTTTTTGTTCACGGTGTGGCCTTTAACAGTTTCCCAGAAAAAATATTTTGACATTCGTAAGACTTGTCAATGCAACGCAAACAAATTGGCCTCGGTGTTAAGGTGTATAAACAGCGATTTTAAGGTCAAATCAACACGTCTTTTACTCTTTTTTTTTACAATGGGCTAGAGCTATCATTCACATTTTATACCAATACCTTTTTCCCCTTTTTTCTTTTAAATTTTAACTGGGTAGCCCATTCAGTGGAATCCACTGGTCTCCCATTGGGCCAATTAAAGAGAAGACAATGTGAAGAAATTAGCTTAAGATGTGAGAGGAAAACCCCAGAAGCATATTCTAAGGGAAACCCACGGAATCAGGTAGGGACTGAAAACCCAATCCACATATTGGTCAAGGTATCAGGAATCGAACCCGGGTCACAGCGGTGGAAGGCGAGGAAAGTACCGCTACGCCAACCTTGCTCCCTCACTTCTCACAATTTTGACAATATTTTCTATTTAATCTGTGTCAACTGCAATTCAAATGCCGACTGATGGAAACATATTTATCGAAGTGGTGAAATAGACCTGAAATTGTGTGATAATGTGCAAACCCTAATGTAATAATACAAAATAAGAATAACTCCGAGAGATTTTAACGCTACAGACCGGTTGCAATAAGCAGCCATCTTTGAAATTGTATGTTATATTAATATCAGTATGAACGGAGGCACAAGAGGTCAATAGACTATATTTACGAGTCGGCCATATTAAGTTCAAAGCGAGGTAATTAGTTAATACCAGTCTGCTCGGACGAATAATTTAACATTTGTCATGAAACATACCCTAATCTTTTAAGCAACATTAAACAAAATTGAAAGTGAGGCTTGGCACGCTCTCCAATTACAAAAATAGTGTGGCACCCTCCCATTCAACAATTTACAATTTATATAATAATTTGGGGAACATGATCGAAAATGGCTTCCTCTTGGATAAGGTCTAAAGTAAAAAAGCACCGACCTCAACAATGGCTGCAATGCCATTCGACAGGGGATCTGTCGAATGAAATCAGTGGTGAATTTAGCTGCATACCTATGTTCCCCAACCCTAACCCTAAGGATTTTGGGGAACATAGGTATTGGGGACATATGTGTTGGGGAACATCGGGTAGACCCCGTGAACTTTCCCACCAGCCACGACCTACTCGAATCATTAGATAATCATTGACATTAAATGTCAAGCATTGTTACTGACTATTTGGGATTCGTCGCCTCAAGACTAAAACTGCTAAAGACTGCAAAGGTGTTATCGCCCCCGTCCTTTGCTATCACAGCTGGATATACTTCAAGCAAGACACCATCTCGGTAAGGTTTCTAGTTTAGTTATTTTATAAATGTGGGTCTCACTTTTTCCCTGTCCCTGTTAACATCCCACATCTATTTTTGTAATTCTGGACGAACTCCTTAATGCATTCTTCATCCAAGAATGATGTTGTGAAGCAACGACCTTCACAATAAATTAAAATTAGTTTGAAGTCATTTGGGACGGTACAAGGAGTAACAGACATTACGTAAATGGGCAGCACAAGAGGGGAAATGACAGACTTTTGACCCTAATTTATAGAATGACCCAGATGTATTGATGGCTGGGGCTTGAAGGAAGTGCTCACCGTAGTTCATAAGTTTCTCACCAATGCGATGGATAACTTCTTCAAAGGTAACAATTGCCGGCGCCGTACTCCAACACAATTATAGACAACGATTGGTTAACAATCAACAAGGCTGTGTACGCATCTTTCCCTTCAGTTTTCTCGAAGTCGCTGCCTGTCCGATATAGGCTAAAAGCAGACAATAATATATTCCGTGTCGTGTGTGTAGTATTAAACTAAATGAAGTTATTCTGATACTTGAGTGATTTCAACATCAAATAGAACCGTCTCACGGAAAGAGACGATAATGATTCTGGCTTATACCTCCGCCATCGTCGCTTATATAGCATATTCGACTCTCTCGTGACCACGTAATGTAGCTTCAGAAAAAAACTGGCACAATCAAAATGAATCGGAGGCAGATTTGTTAATTAAAGGTGATCTTTGCTCAGCACATTATCTTAAGCACATTACCTTTAGTTGGTTACGAAGACTTGATATACTAGGTAGACCGGGAAACTCCACACTTTATATTCTAAGGAACCTACAGCACATGGAACACAGGGTTGCATCGGTCAGTGCACGGCCGAAAGCTCCTCCTCAATCACCCGTTGCGTAACACATGTCTACATCGTCAGCCTTCGATCATTACGTAGTCCAGTCTAACACCACCAAGACGACCGTAACTGCATCTGTCCTGCACCAGTTGGGAAGACAGCATCCGCACAACGAGCAACACGGTACATCCTTCCCCCTAAGAACTATGACTGTGACTTGGACAGCACCTACACAGTGCACTCTCCGTCAGGGGGAGCTGCAACGGTTTATATCCCATTCGTACACAGCATTGATCATTTTGCTGGCTAGGCTTCCATACACCCACACGTCATGTGCACTGCCGCGCCGCCAGCACACTGCGCTATACGTCACGCGACCACAGCTCGGTCACACAAAATGTTCTTATTAGGTTATTCACTCGACACGATGAAGGCTTTGACACAATTTGGCTGACAGCGACGTGGGAAATAGGTTAGAAATGCCTTTCATAATACTTGCCTGTTATTCCATTGGTGCAAGTCACACACTTTCAAAAATTAAACCTTAAAATATTCCTCGTTCATTACTAATGCAGCATGACTATTTGCGCTTATTTGGTCACATTATACTTGTATTGTTTCCAAATAAGTATTTTTATTTAACATGATATATACCTCTTGCATCTGTGTAGTTTCAGTCATAAGAATATACGCCTTCTAAAAAATCCATTGAATTTTAAAATATCCATCAATACATTATCACATTTTATGTTGCACAATTCAGCACACGCACTTTGCGAAATGAATTTGTCAAAGAATGGGTCATTCGAGAACGTCGTTAACTCCAATTGCCGCCTAACATAGTAGGTTTATTGCACATGATTTCTATCCCGTCCGCCCATTGCAATAAATTCGTGCAATAACTTGAAACGATTACGAACTGCGTGCCCTTAATGCATAATTTATGTCCGTGTTTGCACACTCGCGGCTGATCCAATTTTTTTTTTTTACTTCATTATCCGAAATGGATGCTTAAGATTTATTTGCACACCAAATATCGTTAACGATCGACGCAGACCTGGACTTGTTTATTTTAGAAGCCGTGTCATCCTCTTTTAATGTTATAGTGTTTTTCTTTTAATTCAATTTGAATTCAGTGGAAAAGTATTCAATTGGTTTTCACTAGAATGTAGTAATAATCACAGCGCATGTCTCAATTAAATTTTTTACTTATTATCAGTTCTGATTTTAGTCAAAAATTCAGCACATATCAATAAAAATGAAGATGAAAATCTGTTTTCTTAATTTTTGTTGGGAGCAATAAGCTTACGTGGGCATTATTAATGACATCATTGTTTAAACAACTGCAAGAAATTGTTAATCAATAATCCGAAATGATGCCTTCTCTAAACACTGTCCCATTTTCCTTCCAATCAACCGAGTCCTCGGCGTTTATTCTCAGAAATGCGATACCTCCGGACGCGATCCTCAATCCGGTAACCTTTCCCAATCGGGCGCCCACGCTGTCCAAGTCGGGCGGACTTTCATTATTGTTTTTCGCGGTCGGTCTGCATGCCGCGTTGAATACCTAATCGCATTGTGTGTCCAGCCGTCCACTCGTCAAGCGTATGCACGCTCCGGCTCCAGTCCCAAGAACAATTATTGTTATTTTTTGATTTCCTCTGCATTGCGAGCACTTGAAATTTGCGGCTTTCTTCCTAGCCTGTCCCCCCCCCCTCGATTGGAAGGAAATGACAATACGGTGGCTAATGCATAATGGGCAGCGCAGTGGTTATGCAAGTTATTTTATAGATGGCGGTCAAACTACCTCTTCATGTAGGAGAACGGGGTTGGGGGGTGGGTTGGTTTTCGTGGTTGTGGGAGAAGAATAATTGTGAAATTTCTATGCTTCACATGCCCCACGGTTCTACGGGAATAGCGGTTTTTGAATCGTGGGAAGAGCATACAATCATTGAGTCCTTTTTGTAATGCACGGTTTCAAAAGCGAGGCCGCCCTTAAACTGAACAATCATTTATTTCATGAAATTGACCCTTCGTCAAAAGGTTCGTGGAAAACAAAAAACATCCCCGAAACGACCAAATCGCGCTGAGTATCCTTCGCACCGACCAGGTGGAGTGTTTGGCATACAAAGTATACGTCATGTTGTCAGTACGCGCTACGGCGATAAGATGGTCCTCCATGCAGCCTCTTCTCGGTGTGGAGTGGGGAAGTGTGCGGGGGCGGTTCCAGCTACAGGCTGCCCGATTGTTGGCTAGAAGGACCCTCATACCATGACACCTGACCAAAGGCTGCCCGGCCGGTACCATGGCAACGCCGATGATGCTATAGCGGGTTGCCATGGCAAGAATATACTAAGAGGCAGTATTGCTGAACTCCCATCCCGCTTGCATCTACAGCCATGCATGTAGGTATTCATGTATAGGGCCCCGCGGCGGTAATTGATGGAGTTCAGAAAAAAATTTGCTGTTGGTCCATCTTCCCATACGATGGCTATTGCTCACTACCATGGCAACAGTGAGGATCTTCAAGACCGTTGCCTAAGAAACGGTATATGAAGGACGCCCTCACCATGCAGCACTGATTTTATCTCAAATGTTCAAGCGTTGTGACATCTTTCAGCTGCTACAAGACATATGTCTGTTGCTACGCACAGCAGCGATCATGCATGTGTTTTGATACAGTAAATCAGTTACTTTCTTCCAGAGTCTCCTTGCGGGGTTATCCTTGAGGGAAAAAAAATCCCATCCCTTGTCCAGAAGACCCACAACTGTCCGATACCATGGCAACGGTGATGTCGTTGGGCGGTTGCCCGGGCAACGCTTCCGAGGATTAACGCCTCGTCACGTGTTCTTGATGAGCGCGCTTCCGGACGGGGGTTTGGGTTCTAGGAAGCGTCCGGACAATTTGGTTTTGTGTTAAACTTCGCTAAGTCCGCTGTGCGAGCCCCAGTGGAACCTCATGTGCCCTTGTCGTCTATTCCCACAAGACATCTTATTCAAACAAAATTCAAGGTCTCCTTCATGAGCTTTCATTTACCTGAGATTTACTCCGGGAGAATGACGTGTAGCACAAAGCGCTGATTTATGTGAAGTGTGTTATCAAGACAGATCTGGACAGAGACCGATACTGGTTGGATGGGATAGCTTGGCTCTGTCCCATGTCTGGTAGCCTAATGTAAAGTTTGTCCAAAAAAATCTGCCGAAGGCCGGCAGCGACAAACAGGTGGCTGTTATGTTCTTACAACAGGTGTAATGCCGAAAAATTTCGATGAGTATTACCAAAAACGACAATGTGAGGATGGTTTGGTAACAACAACTTGAATACAAACCATATAGGGAACAGCCTACATGTCTAAAGTCCCATTTAGTCAGTGAGACTACCAAATCCGCATGTTTCATTACATTATGGTCTTCTGTATAGGTCATTTTCTAGAAGTTATATTATTGACAGTCATACATAATGTAAACCATTAACATGTTTACTCATTCAACTGAGACTGTAACGAAGGCAAAGACAAGATGATCACCTTTTTACTCCAACCAAATTCCCCCCCCCCAAAAAAAATACTGGAAACTATGCAATGAATTATGAAACAAAACAAAATGAGGGGAAAAAGCAAATCCGCAACAGAGATGAGATACCCATGTAAGTTTTAATCCCTGACCAAACCATTTTCAATTTCCTTCTGTTAATTGAAGAGGTACGAAGGTACAGCCATGGCGTATTCTACTTCGTTATCTGGATTTAGAAAAGACATAAATCTGTCATACTAGATTATAATCTCATACTGAATTGCCTCGAAAAAAATCCTTTTAGATGCTTATTTTAGTGTTCTCTGTTACAGAACACCTTTAGCAAACACCGAAGCCAACAAAACATCACAGACTGACCTCGATATCTCCTTGTACATGGTACAAGTCACGAGCTAAATGCTCGCCGACGTAAATGCTCGACAAAAACATTGAGACTTCAGTAGCAAAATAACATCATTCAGCCTACTGTAAGAACAAAACCTTGTCTTTTCGCCCATGCATCTTCAAGGAGGAACCTTCCCAAGCTCCACGGTGCTTGATACTAAATGTCAGCTGTCTTCCTGCCCATCCAAGGGGCGGCGAGGCGGGAATACGATGTCTTACGCTCTGTGGGTTTGGGAAAGGGACTAAAAGAACGCGAGAAAAAAAACCAACCAACGAAATATCTTTAGAAAAGATGCAACAATTCTTGCCGACGATGGCCCCGGTATATTTATAGCTGATTTGACATTTGGCTTTCCATCGCATGGTGAATTGCGATCACAACCCCTCTCCCTGATGTATCGATCGAGAGGTTCGCCAGGACGAGCAAGACAGAAACATTGGGACGGAAAAACAAAGGAGAAAAAAACTCAGGCTGTTCACCCGGCCACGTCCAAATTGTTACCGACACGAAATATCAGCAGTGTCCGTGCGAATGAGAGCAACCACGGGATGATATGTGGCTTATGGTTATTCGGCGTGTAGGGTTTGCATTTAACATTAAGGCACCCCGGTCACTGAATGCTCAGCCGGTCATTAGACTCCAGAATTCAGGTTGAAATTAAATTCACCTGACAACTCATTTTTTGTATCCGTAACAAGAACTGAAAAACGAACAACAGGATGTGAATTCAAATTCAATAATGTTCCAGTGCAGTTTGAAGGGAGTGTGTCCAAAACGACTACAAGCAAATTATACGAAAACCGTAGCAGTTTCTTCCAATCAACCTCTATTGTCAGTTGTTATTTCACATGTCATGTATCTATTTCCGTCTCTAAATTTAAATTGTTTGCCTAATCGCTACTTTAACATAACGTCTATAGTTAATTTGTGCGAAAACAAAATTTATTTTGGGCAGGTTGGCACAGTACCTAAATAGATTAAAAATCACGTTTGTTGAGTACAACGTTACACGTACAACGTTACACGTAAACCGTTTCTATTGTTAACCGCACGTACATTTTGTCAATTATGTATTTGTTTTTATAAATCCAAACGTAAAATCACGAATGATATAATTACGAGTAAGTCACATCCTGGCGGACGATTAGCGTCAAGAAATCTTCATATTTTTGCACTTTTCCCTCTACACCCGTGAATCTAGTTGAAAAGTAAGAACGGGGTTCTTTTTTTATACATGTTTCTTTTTTTTTTTTTTTTACAAGAAATAGTCATTACAAGGATGGAACTATTTTCCTAGTTAGCCACCTC